ATTTAATTTATTTTTCTTTCTACGTGACTTTATCGAAAGAACCAAAGAGTGATGGGGATGGTGGTGTTTTCACTTTTTGTTTATTATCGGGGGCCGCACGCCAGGGGCCGCACTAAAGGCCACCAGGGACCGCCAGTGGCCCGCGGGCCTTGCGATGAAGAACGCTGCCCTTTGGGGAGTCTCGACTCAGGCAAACTCAGTGCACACACTCCGACCATCCAAAACCGGCTGGAGCCAATCTTAACTTTTTTTTTAAATCCAGTGTGGCCTCTCAACCAATTGGCACATTGTCCAATTTTAATACCCGCGCAGCATGCCGTCTCGTACCCAATCACAGAGCCTTCAATTGGAGTCAGGGCTGTCTTGTCTCCGAGCGGATTATATCAAATCCTGGAAGGAATTACCTGTGGGACTTGCCACCTGGTGGTGCCTATGTCCCGTCTGATGCCCCGACCGGCGGCCCGGTTGCACACCTCGCTGTGCCCTGTATTGTGCGGGAGGGCACTCCACACCCCCAGCGCATCGGGAGAGGCTCGGCATTGCTTGGACTCACGCTGCAAAGCCCTTTTTTTTTAAATCCTTTATATTAAGTTCGCTTGCTTGCGTGCTTGCTTGCTTGCTTACGACCGTGCAAATCTTTCGGTCGTTTTTTAACCCACTTCCCGTGATCCAATCGAGCTGACATTTTGCACACAGACTCGTTGTGCGAGACAATTAATGTTCGTGAAAAAAAAATTTCCAAAATTTTACACTGTTTAGGGAAAACAAATTAAATATTTAATTACCAATTGCTTAATACTGGCAGACAATCATCTGACCCATAGGTGGCAGCCATCTCAAGCCAGAGGACGAGAGAACTCTAGCCGCCACGCATATAAAGGATTTATAGTGAAAAACTTTGTTTTTACGGGTTATACTTATGTACTAACGCTCTTAACCTTCAACAATGCGTGTTCAACCCCCCAACCCCCCTCCGATGAAGCTTGGAGAGGTGAATGGAGTGCAAAATAACTCACAACTGCCTCGTTGTTAAAGAGCCAACGTAGAAGATCCCCAAGGTTTTGATCTTCCACGAAGCTCATGGTCCCCACCCTAAATAGTATCCGCACAAACCAAGGCAGATGCGGATTACTGATGCGCACGTGGAAATTTAAAAAACAACTTTCCAGTGTACGACTGTGGTCATCCAGAACAAACTGTAACCACATAACGACGCAATTCCCGATCCACAAACGCGAAGGAGACATCACAGCGATGCACTCCGCTGCTGTTGACCCGGTTATCTTGCCTTCACCACCCCAGTGTGACATGTGTAGTCGTTCAATCTTGATTTGAAGCTCTCGTGACTGCAGGTGTCCGTACTCTCTGGTTCTTTCGGTAAAGTCACGTAGATCTAAAACATAATAAAATAACACCTTTCGGTCGCAACACAAACGTGTTGGATCTACATCAGTCGTACGAGAATAAGAAGCGGTGATTTAAGGCGTTGGAGGGCAACACACGTGCATGGCTAGTGCTGCACATAACCACACAGTGCACATTAAACACAACTTACGAATTGTTTTTATTGTATCACATGTAACAGTATTTACAGGAGAATAAATGCATGTATACTTAATTTTATACGCGTGTGTAATGGTGGGTGTAATGTGTAGAGAGTTGTTAGCAATATATTACATCGGTTTGCATTGCTGTAAGTAGCTCGTCGAACCGTTTGCGTTCCCTTAATTATCCTCGATAGACAGAGTTTACCGACTCGACGTATAAACTAAAACGACCACAAACTTGCACAACGGCACCGAGATTTCATGAAGAAACTAACAAACGCACGTTGATTATTATTATTAGGAGAGTCAGACAAAGTCATTAACAGCAACGTGTTCTCAGACGTTGGATTGCTAAAATAAAAGCATGAATATCAACAGCAGCAACCACGACCAAGCCACTGATGGATGGAAGGCCTCCCCAAGTGATCACCGCCCCCTCAACCCCGTCCAGGAGAAGCAACAATCCATTTAGCTTCTGCACACGGTGCGAGTTCATGAATCCATTGTGATTGATGCACTCTTGGGCGCGTTCCCTCCTTTGCCTGCCGCTCGACCGCTGGCCATTATCCCATCAAACATTGTCGCCTTGCCCAAGCCCACTTTCCTTAGCGAATATGTCAATACGATGTCTTTAAGTTGCTGGTGTTAAAGCTATCGACGTGTCGATTGACGTGCACATTACCCGTTGTGACACGTGGATCAGAAATATGCCCCTTTGACAAAGAATATGGAAGAAAAAAAGCTGCAAAATGCGCCACAAAAAGCATTCCTGCTGGTAATGTACCTTTAGAGACGAAGAGAGGAACACATGGGGCATAGAACACGAGCAAGTTAGATACATCATGTTGCACGAGCCAGTTGGATTGTTGAATTGCAGGACTGAGTGGTGCAGATGTGCATCATGGCAGTAGGTCGATACGAATTTTTTTTAATAAAGTTGTGATGGATTAGTGTTTCTGGAGCGAAGAGCTGTAAAACGATCACTTGAAACAAATGTTGTCAAAATCTGATTTTGCTTTGTGTAATTAGACCACTCAGGGGGGTGGGGTGTTACAAGTCTGTATTCACCCCAATGTGTTCAATATGGCAAGAGTGATTCATTGTACACGTGTTAAAAATAAAACAGAATGTTGCAATGCACATGAAGCCATATTTTACAATTTACTTTCTGGTGTTGGAAATAATCCACCAACTAATAAAATTTTAAAACCTGGCAATATAACAATAAGGATGTATATTACATTTTTCTTATAAAACATAAGAAAACAAAAAAAAAACTTCAAAAAACTGACTGCCAAGTTGATAATTATGCTTTATAAGAAAACATTAAATAATCAACTTAATCACGTGACATGGCATATATATATATACTTAGCATACATGGCGACATCATACATTATCTAAAAACATTAACAATAAAAAGGTAATCCATAAATGAATGTCTGTGTTTTCTATTTAACAATGGATAATTAAATTTTTATTTAAAGCTTTCGTGACTGCAGGGATTCATCTTCTTGGTTCTTTCGGTAAAGTCACGTAGAAGGGAAGTAATAAAATAATAAAAATAAAACATAATAAAATAAAATTATTCTCACGACGTTTCGGCCACAACGCAAGCAGCCATCCTCAGGTGAAAACCAGGTCCGTCGAAACGTCGTGAGAATAATTTTATTTTATTATGTTTTATTTTTATTATTTTATTGCTTACCTTCTACGTGACTTTACCGAAAGAACCAAGAAAATGGATAATTAAACACATTCCAAGAATTCACAATTACTAGAGCAACTATATTGACCATACGTGGTATTCCGGGCCAGTTGTTCCTTTGAATAAAGCTCCAGTATAAAGCCAAGTCGATGATACTAAACCAGATTTTGAAGAAATATAAAAGCCTATAGACTTTTTGGACAAAAACTTTGTAGGTTTAATAAACTTGAGCCTGCAGGAGGACGCGCATACCTTTCCTTTTATACCAGGCATTTCATTACTTCGGCTCCTTAGATGGCTCGGTGGGCTGACACCATGCTCCGCAGTTACTTCAGAGCCACACCGGGGCCATGCTCAGCCAGCCCCGTGTGGCTCAGGAGGCTCCAGGTATTTTCTTTGTCCACTGCGGAACCCAAGCCGTTGCCACTGACTTTGCACGCAATAAACGATTTGAGTCGCTTGTAGATGCAAAATACGACTCAAATTATGAAAATGCTGAACCCAACCCCTGGCCCTGCTTTTGCCCCGAGCCAGTTTCAGATGTCTTGTGATGCAAGAGTTTCACCAGTGGTAACCAGCCATGGTGTGAGGCCCCTGCGCTGGCATGGCCCAGATGTGTCAGTGGAAAATGGTATTTGTCTAGCCCAAGAAGAAGCATTTGAAATTGGTTCTTAACCCTTTCCTTTTCGGAGAAGACTGCAAGTTGTATGGTGCGTTCCGTTCACCTCTGAATCTCGGAACGCACAAGCAGTTCAGTGTTAATTGTATTTAGAGAGGCATAACACCGTTGTTTTTAAAGACATTGTGCTCACCGCAGAGAACTGTAGCGACACAACCGCACTCTGTGATTGCTGGCGCCAAACTGTACCACACGCCCTCCCACATGGCCTTGTGGGGACCTCAGTACCGATAATGTTATTTTACTTTAGTATTTCTTCCGATACATCATCAGAACGAAACGGGAAGAAAAACTGATGACGTACAGGAACGTTCCGATGATGTACGTCATTAGAACGGGAAAGGGTTAATATGCATTGATTGCAATCCACAGAATAAAACACATAACAAAAATGAAGATTTCCTATACTGTATAAATACACTTTCATTTGTAAGAGGATTTTTGAATGACGGAGGTAGTTGAAAGTAGTAGATATTCAAAAGTGATCATTAACGTGTTGCACGCAGTGCCGATTTAAATGCTGGGATGGTGCAATGATTGCCCTGTTAGCCAATGGGAGTGGCAATTTTGACTCCAGGAAAAGGGAAACAATTCCACTTATGATTTATATCAGTCAGAAGACATCTATATATTAAACATTTGCTGGTATATGCCAACTGAAAGTCTAACATTACAATATCGAGCACCACGTCGCATATCCAACTCGCTTGGAGACTGACAAATAGGTGTATATGTGAAAAGTTCAGACATGTGAATATATATAGCAAATTACAATTACACCGAAGACAAATACTATACAGGGCATGGGCAGTCAATTGGTCAGGGTAGATATGTGATGTTCGACTCTGTGACGTTGTCCTGTACTTTAAATTACAAATTATGCATTTTTGTGATTCCAGTAAAAAGAACGCAAATGGACATCGAATAGATGTATTTTACTTTTCACAGAACATCATGGGACCTCCTTTGCCAGGACCAAAATATGAAACTGATTGGTCCACACCAGAGACAGCTTTCTCTGGTGTGGACCAATCAGTTTCAAAGACAATGCATATATTATCAAAGTATGTTTTTTGTTTGCATTCTGACCACAAGTACTGTATTGTGGTTATTGCAGACATGATTCCTTGTAAAAGGTTTCAGTTTGGTGTTTTCAACATCTTTACACTTGTTTTATTGGCAGAAAAAAAGGGGAAAACCTATTCTCATATTTCACAGAACATGTCAGAATTAACAATATTTCACTCAACCGTAAAAACCAAAAATCATTTACGTTCGTGACACTTAAACATGCGGTTGGCGTGATGTTGATGTGCTCTTATCTTTGTAATGTTGTTATATATCTATTGGGCGAATCATGATGGTGGTGGCACGCAAAGAGTAACTTGAACCTTTCCAGTAATGCCACTTGATACCATTAAACCTACCCACGTTCTGCCCAGCAGAGTAGTACATCCCATTGAGGTTGGACGGCCCGCAGGCATCAAACCACCAGCCTGTAGTAGGGCAACAACAACAACAAAGACATAAACAACAACATTATTGGGCGCCATGGTGGCGAGATGTTATCTCCCTCGCCTCGTATGCAGGAGGCCGTGGGTTTGATCCCAACCCTGACACCTGTTGTATATTTGGAGTTTACATGTCTCTCTCCTACCGTGGTCGAGTGCATTTTTCTCCTGGTCCTCTCGTTTTTTCCTTCATAATTAGAAACATGCTGCTGTTATAAATTTACACGAAATAAGCCACTTCATTGAACTGTCATTTCTGGCCAGGTCGCTTCTAAAAAGGAGACATATACAGTAGCTTTGTGTTTTTACCTGGTCAAATAAAAATTGTAGTAAAATAAAAAAAATAGTTGTAAAAGTAGTAGTCGTAGTAATTGATCGTTATAATAGAATGTAAATGTGCAGCCCCGCAAATCCTTGCTCACCCCACTGCTTGTGGAAGGGCCTCGACTAGAGGCAGGCTGTAGAGAGCCCCACTAAGAGGGTATTTGGACACATTTTCCAAGATATACGGCCTACACTTTACCCCACCACACATCACCTACCGATTGACTAACTGCTGTGTAACTATTTATGCAACTGGGTGGACAAAGGCACGAGGATTTAAGAAACTTGCACCCTTATTTTAACTACCAAGCCATGAGATTGATCGAGCGACCTCTGGATGTACAAGTCCAGTGTGATAGCCATTAACACCACCGCAAAATCCTACATAAAGAATGAAATTGATCATTCCTGACCTTGGCTTGAATATAACACTTTCCCTGTTGGTGATAACCAGTATTAATTGCACCAAAAAATAGGTGAACACTTCATAGCAGTTAGTTGCAGAGGACAGTCAATGAACAGTGAATTCCACCATCGCTGGTGGTTCTCAATGACTAGATGATGAAGCAGTTCAAAGAGCAAATTTTAAAAAAACAGCCCTGGGAGTGACTAAAAACAACATCGTCTTCATGGACATATGGACATTCATTGCTTGATGAAGTGTGTACATTGAAACTAAGACTGCTTCTAAAATTGCTTCAAACATATCTCGAAATTTGTTTTATATTTTAAACTAAGTTTAAATAGTTTTTACTCTATCCCTAATAATCAGTCTCCGTGTGTAAGGTACGGTAGACATAATCCTCACAGAAAGAAAATTATACAATTTGTTCTATTTCACGTGTGCTTTACGTACAAATAAATACCATACATTTCTAAGAGAACAACGCAATGGTGGCTGTACAAATAAATACTTCTGGTGGTCAGTTTTACTCAAATAATAATGACTTCCATGCTTCTGCACTTGTTTAATAAATCGGAAAAAATTTGTTACAGTGTAAAAAATCTGTTCAACCCATCTCATTTTCATTGCCTCCACGTGCCAATGCATTGTAATGTTGAGAGCAGTTTTTGGCATTACTGCCAACATACTGTTCTGCTTAGTTTCCATAAAACATTGTGGAATCTTGGAAAGGTTGCTGGCAGTGTTGAGATAGCCATTGTCTGTAGCAAAGCAATTCTCTCAAGTCTCCAGGGTTTTCTTTTTCAAGTTTGTTCTCGTAAAAAGGCCACAGCCACGGGTCAATAAAGTTAGTTAGTTGATATCAATCAGTAAATACCATCTTGTTTAAAATCTAAATACTGCGTAATTAAAGGGGTTTTGGGCAATTTAGTTTGAAAAATAAGCAGAACAAATTGCAGATCATTATGTTTAAAAAAATAGTTTCATGCTACGGTGAAAAGAGTTTTATATGTTCAAACCAGTTAATATGGAAATAAATATTATAGAATGAATCCACGAAGTTGGAAATAATACAAAACTGGTGATGTTCTTTTTTTCATAAAAATGTAATAACATGTATATAACCACACATTTCCTACAATAAACTTCTTACATTTACGAGAAAATGTTTATAGGGGTGAATGGTCAATGCACACGTATCACTAAATCACCCATAATGCTCCCCATAGCATCATATCTTGGAAGCTAAGCAGAGCTTTAGCCGGCATTGCACATTTGCTACTTGGATGGGAAATTCTCAGATGGGCGACCAACCCTGCATAAAACAGGTGCTTGCAGCTCCTTCAGAGGTTACGTTGTCAGCAAAGGGCAGTACAGCAAAATCCATTGTTGTACAGCACTTCTATGCTCCAACATCTATGCACCATACCTTTACTAACCTTCACTGACTGGCATGTTGTTGCATGGTTAAATAACCGCACAACTTATACAGTGTGGTGATGCCCCCGTCCAGCGGTGAATTGACAAAAGGGTTGTACATGTTGCATGAATGATCAAAGTACCAAGGCAATGAGCCCCTGCATAATGAAATGCACTTCGAGTAATTCAAAGCAAATGCAAGGGAGCAATCAATCATTAGTGAATGTTGTACCATTTAGAGAAAATTATGGTTTTGGACAGGGGTTCAGCCACTGTGGGTGTGCAGACACTCACGCAATCTTGTGCCCCTGGTTAATGTTAAGCATATCTTAAAGAGGGATTATTTTTGTTACATGTACCATGGCAAGTCTTTAATGGCAGCATAAGCAAAGGACAAATAACATGCATCTGTATCCCAACCAATAACCACTGGGAACCATTCGCTAGCAGGACAGCACCAACTTCCAGAGTGGTGGTTGTTGCCGCTGGTTTATGGTTACACTCCAACTTGTCAAGTTCCACATTGTTATCATAATCAGAATCTTTACTCATTACTGGACGAATCCAGTGAGCTCTGAAGCTCTTTTTCACAGATGTCCAGTAGGGGAGGGTCAGAAAGTTACGATAACAAATAATACAAAAAGACGATAGGAGTGCAAAGTCTGGTAAAGGTAAGCAAATACATTTTTTTATCTTACCCGGTAAATCCCACTGCGCTATTAGCTTCTTTTTCAGAAGTGACCTGGCCACAAATGACAGCTCGAAGAAGCGGCTGATCACGTGGCAATGTATCGCGGCCAAATAACCTCCACAAGTGTCTGAGGCTGCCTATCGCTCGTACCTCCTGTGCTCATCTGCGCACATCTGCAGGGGCAGTTGTCGTTGTCCGCGTCTCTGGTGCTGAAGCTGCTGCTACCCTGGCCGAGGCTGCTGTGCTTGCCCGCCGTGCCTCCGTAGCCCCGAGCGTGCAGCCTGAAGCGGCGAGGAGACACCGGCGGTTCACGTCAGCAGGGCACATCCGGCGGGGCCTCCGGCATTGGCGCCTTCATTGCAAATGAGTGCCCGATGATGCTGGATGTAATTAGCAGCGAAACGTCGTACAACTAAAAAAATTGGAAATGTTGTCGATTCACTCTTCAACACACCGGTGGGCTAAAGTAGTGAACTATTTGTCTTTTGTCAACGTGAGACTTTTTTGCTGATTGGTCGTGTCGGGTGGTGGAGGGTTACGGCACATTTATAAATAACGCGATCTAACCCAAAAACATTTATTATGAATAATATTGGTCGCGAAAGCCTACGTGTTAAACTAAATAGTAAACTAAACTATTTTTTTTAACTAAACTTTTTTTTTATTTTACCAGGTAAGGCCCACTGAGCTATGTAGCTCTTTTTCAGATGCGACCTGGCCACAAATGATAACTCGACGAAGTGGCTTTTCACGTGAAAATGTAAAGCAGCAGCCACATATTCTAAAAGCGTGATGTTGATTCTAAATGTAAAGGGAAAGACCGAAGGACCCGGAGAAAAATCCACACGGCCATGGGGAGCGAAAACATGCAAACTCCAAACATATAACCTCCTGTACACCAGGCGAGGTAGTTAACATCTTGCCACTGTAGCGAGATCTTAAATAGAAAAGCAACAGGGAGCTCAAAGAGCAGCTGTCCCATGCTACGCTCCGCAAGTGATGCATCTGGCCTGGCTATTGCTGAAACGTGCGTTTGGCTGCTATACATTTCCTGTGAAACAGGAGTGATCATTTGTGATCGCCAGATCGCTTCTGAAAAAGAGCAATATGGCTCAGCGGGCCTTACCTGGTATAATAAAACATAGTTTAGTTTTGTGTAGTGTTGGTGTATACGATATGTGGCACATTAGGAATGGATCACTCTTTTAAGTATGTCCTTGTGCAGCAAGGGAGTAAAGTGTGGTTCTGTGAAGGTCCTGATGTGCTGTGCAGTGCATCAACGCATGTGTGTACAGCAGCATGTGATGACTGAGTCTGGCCGGTAGGTGGCTGGCAGGGTTAATGAATAACCGCACGTGTAAACCAGCCACATGGTTAATGGCGTCTCGGAAGAATTGCTGCGTGTAACACGCACTGTTGCATTTTACAGAGCGACGGTGCTGTTCTTCACAAGATTAATATGAACTACAATAAATAAATGTGCTTGCCCTCGATTTGGAGCACCTGCCCACGTCCTTCATTTCGAGTGTGCAACACGATAGAATTGTCTTAATAATTCACAGCCCTTTGTCAATCCACTGGCGGATGAAGGCCTCCCCACGCCGCCTCTTGCTTCACCATGATTCACCACATTGTGTCAGTGTGGGTTGTTAAAGGGATCCAGGACCGGTTGACACATACCTTGCCGCTGATGTTAGCCATGGCTGGGAATCGAACTTAGGTTGTGTAGGGGTGTCAGGGGAAGGATTCCCACCAATAGATGGGTTAGTGGGAGGGGTGATCGAAGAGATATAAGGAGAGAACGGGCGGGAAGAAGGGGCCTTTGGCGGGAACGAGATTGGGACGGCTGGGGGACAGGTGTGGAGAGAAGGAAAAGAATAAAGGACGAGACCCCTGCAATCTGGTGTCGGCTCCTACTTTACATCTGGTGGCAGCGGTGGGATCTCATGGCTACAAAGAAAAATCCCCGCGGGAAAGAGCCAAGGGAGGAGGAAGCAGGGGCCGGGGATCCTTCCCATCCCGGGCAACAAGGGGGCCTGCTATCAGAAGCAGCAGCAGGGGGCCCGGATCGCCTGGAGGACACCATGGAGGACCGCATGGCCCGCGTGGAGAGGGCACTCCAGGAGCTCCTACAGAGGCTCCCTATGGGGGACCCGCCAGCACCGGGACCCCCACCCCCACGCGTACTACGGGAGGAGAGGCCACGGGACCCGGAGGCCGACCAGCCGGCCGGGCAACCAACCTCGTCACGCCAGCCGCCGCCGGTCCCGCCAAAACCCCCAGGGCTAACCACCCAACAGGGAGAGCAGGTGGCCGGACGGCCGCGTCGGCTGGGGCCCGTCGACAAGTTCGTGGCTGAGGAAGAAGACTGGGAGGAGTTTGTCCGCCGATTCGAGGCTGCCTTCCACGCTCTCGAGTGGACAGACGAAGAGGCACTACGAGCGCTGCCATCCGTTCTGGGCAAGGAAGCACTCGCCTCTTACACCTCCCTTCCCTCGCACAGCAAGACCACGCTACAGGCGGCCTACGAGGCTTTGGGGGAGATCTATTGCCCGGCGGAAGGGGCCTTTAAACGGTTCCAGGATCGCCAGCGAGGGGCTAAAGAATCCCCTTTATCCTACAGGGGTGCACTGCTCGTGTTGGCGAGGAGAGCTTTCCCTCGCCTGGCTGAAGAAGCGCTCGAGGATCTCGTGGTCGAGCACCTCATCGCCTACGCTTGCCGCGCCGGCGTTGTAATGCCCGTGGTGACGCCGGGGGAACGCACCTCGCTGTGGGCTGCCCGGACCATCCAAGCCCACGAGCAGGTCATGGGCCGGGCGCCACCCGTGGGCCCGGTAGCTGGCGCGGCGGGGGGGAACAGCCGAGCCGTTGCCGCGGCACTACTGGGTCCAGCGACACCAACCGCCGAACCTGCACCGTCGCCACAGGCTGCCTGTGGAGCAGCTGGGGACGGACCCCCGACGTCTGAGACGGAGCCATCGCTACGGGAGGTGTACGCGGCGATCCGGGGACTGGCGGAGCAGAGGGACCAGGGGCGCGACCAACCGCCGCGTCGCTGGCAGCCGCCTCTACAACATCGCGCCGAGCCCCCCCGACGGAACGCCCCGTGGGTCTGCCACCGTTGTGGTCGAGAGGGGCATGTGGCGAGGGGGTGCCGCACAGAGCCGGAGGCCGCCAACGTTACCTGGAACCCGCCGGGGCCGAACGCCGACAGGATCCAGGCGAGTGACGCCGTCCCGCCCGGCCTCTCGGTCGGGCCGAGCAATTATAATTCCGACGCCGCGAACTTACCGGGAGTCTCCTCGGGGTGGGCGCCGTCGGTGTCGTTCCCCGGTCCCCATTGTCCGGGTCGGGGGAAGGGAATCGCGCCGGGGATAGCGCCGGGGCCTGGGATTGCGTCGCGACCAGGGGTGGCGTCGCGACCCGGAGTGGCGTCGCGAACGGACGTGACGTTGCATCCGGGAGTGACGTCGCGGCCAGGAGTGGTGTCGCGGATCACGTCGGGGATCGCGCCGAGGCCGGAGACCGCGTCGGGAGTCGCGCCGGGGCCGGAGACCGCGTCGGGAGTCGCGCCGGGGCCGGAAGGGACGTCGCGGGCGGACGTGACGTCGCGGGCGGAGGTGACGTCGCGGGCGGAGGTGACGTCGCGGGCGGAGGTGACGTCGCGGGCGGGCGTGGTTTCACCGGCGGGCGTGACGTCGCGGGCGGGCGTGACGTCCCGGGCGGGCGTGACGTCGCGGGCGGGCGTGACGTCGCGGGCGGGCGTGACGTCCCGGGCGGGCGTGACGTCGCGGGCGGGCGTGACGTCGCGGGCGAGCGTGACGTCGCCGGCGGGCGTGACGTCACCAATTGCCTGCGACGCCGGCGAGTTGCCAGGGGCAACGGCCCGGGGGCGGAGGCAGCCCACAAGATTGACAGTGCGCCCTGAAGCAGTTCCACGGGCCGCCTCACCACCGCTTTGCGGCAGATTGAGACGGAACCAGGGGGACCACGCCCCCGTGACAAAGGGAAGGGAGGGGAGAAGGGAGGGGCTCACGGGAAGGCCCACCCCCCAGTCCCCACTGCCCCCTACAATGGGGGGGGCCCCCCACACCACAAGGGGGGCCCATCCTACGTCACCAAAGGGGGGCAATTTGCACCACACAGAGAGCCCAGCCCGCAACCCAGGGGTAAGCCCACACTATGTAACAAGGGCGCGTTCACCCTGCTGCGACGCACTCCAAAGGGAGGAACCCCATCTTCAGTCCATTCACATCCATCCCCCATCATTTCACCATGCACCACAGGATAACGAGACGCCGCCTGGTCAGTGGCCGGACTCAGCCACACAATGGAGGAAGCTGGCAAGGCGGGTGGTAGCGGCCACGTCAGGAACCTCGGTCCTGGTCGGTGAAATCGCGGGAGTGTCGGCACGTATCTTGGTTGATACGGGGGCATCAGCCACGATCATCTCGAGCACCATGCACGAGATGCTGCCGGATAAAATCCGACCTTTAGTCCCCGTCAAGACAACGTTCATTGCAGCAAATGGAGGCAGCATGGGCTTCCTGGGCCAGGTTGAAGCCCCGATACAGATTGGGCAGCTTTCGGTAGCAGGACCCATCCTTGTCTCCGCAACATTGCCCGTACCCTGCCTGTTGGGGACGGACTTTCTGAGGCGGATGCCAATGAAAATCGATCTGGCCAATGGGCGGGTGGAAGTCCAGGGAACGCATCTCCATTTCCTAAAGGCGGAGGGAGCCAGCCGGGGTGTACCCTACGTGCAGGCTCTGGTCAGTAAGTCTGTCTCCATTCCCCCGGCAGCCCAGATGCTGATTCCGCTGCAATATCGGTCTCCCCTCGTGACAGCCCGACCAGACTCACCCATCCTGGTGTCTCCGGCATCAGCTGCCATGGATCGCCATGCGCTGGTGGGAGCCGAAACTATTGTACAGAGGAACCAGCATCTGTTCATTCAGGTGCTGAACACCTCCGATAGAACAGCGACGGTGCAGGAGGGAACAGTTCTGGCCCACGTTAGTCCCTTGTCACTAGGAGCCCCAGGGACAAAGCCCGAGCTTGTAGGCAGCATCAGCCAGTCCGAGGACAGAGGGGCCGAATCGTGGATGGACCAGCTGGCGGGGCCTGAGCCGGGATTGCCGCCCGACCAGAAACAGCAGCTGCACTCATTATTGCATGAGTTCTCGGACGTGTTCAGCCGGGGACCGTTCGACCTAGGGCGCACAAATCTGTCGCAGCACCACATTAACACGGGAGATGCCGCACCCCTGCGCCAAAACACATATAGAATGAGCCCAATGGAAAAAGGGCACATTCAACAAGCGGTGCAGGAGATGCTGCGGGCCGACATAATTTCTCCATCCTCGAGTCCCTGGGGGGCACCGGTGGTCCTAGTCAAGAAGTCAGACGGGTCACTGAGATTCTGTGTGGACTTCCGACGCCTCAATGCCGTCACGCTGGCCGACGCATATCCCCTACCACGTATTGACGACTCATTGGATGCACTGGCGGGAGCAAAATTTTTCAGTACGCTGGATTTATTGTCCGGGTTCTGGCAGGTCCCACTAGACGCGGACTCCCGGCCTAAAACAGCGTTCCGGACACCACAGGGCCTGTTCGAGTTCAACTGCCTGCCTATGGGCCTCCAGACTGCGCCGGCGACGTTCCAACGCATAATGGAGTTGGCCTTAGCAGGCCTCCAATGGGAAACGTGCCTCATCTACCTGGATGACGTCATTGTCTTCAGCCGATCATTCGAGGAACACATTGACCGATTACGTCAGGTATTCCTGCGGTTCCGGAACGCGAACTTGAAGCTCAAGCCGTCGAAGTGCCACCTTATGCAGTCGTCGGTACGCTAATTGGGCCACGTCGTCAGTGAGTCTGGAGTGGCTACAGACCCGGAAAAGACGGCCTGCGTGAGGGCCTGGGCTGTTCCCACAACGGTTCCAGAGGTACGCCGGTTTGTGGGTTTCGTTTCTTATTACCGCCGGTTCGTACCCAACTTCGCAACCATTGCCAAGCCCTTGCACGTGTTGACGGCGAAGAACCAGAGGTTTTATTGGGGCCCTCTGGAGGAAGAGGCATTCCAGCAGCTGCGCTCACGTCTGACAGATGCACCACCATTGGCTTTTCCGGATTTTGGCCTCCCCTTTATCCTGGACACGGACGCCAGCGATGTGGGCATCGGCAGTGTTTTGTCGCAAGTCCAGCAGGGTCGCGAGGTGGTTATCGCCTATGGTAGTCGCGTGCTTTCATCAGCGGAGCAGCGCTACTGCGTCACACGTAGGGAACTCCTGGCAGTCGTTCACTTCGTGCAGCAATTTCGACCCTACCTGTATGGTCGCAAATTTACGGTCCGCACTGACCACGCGGCCTTGCAGTATTCGCTCCGCATCGACCAGCCTTCGGGCCAGCTGGCCAGATGGATAGAGCGCCTGCAGGAGTACAGGTACCAAGTAGTGCATCGCAAAGGGACCAGACATGCCAACGCAGACGCATTGTCCCGACTGGCGCCCCAGGGCCCTTGTGCATGCACCACAGGCGGGGCACGCTGCAAGGAGGCGAGGCCGGAGGGGACAGTCATCGCTCCCGTACGCACGGCGGAGGACGCACAGGGTGAGGTCCAGCTGACCGACCACGACCTGGGGCTGACCTTGGACGATTGGCGACGGCTACAGCTGGAGGAAGCCCCACTGCGAACGCTACGCGCCTCAGCAGAGGCAGGGGGGGAGGAGTACATCGTATGGGAGGACCTCCTCATGCGATGGGACCCGACAGGGCGCCGACGATGCCTGGTAGTTCCGGAGTCGCTGCGTCAACAATTGGTTATGGACGTACACGGCCGCCAGCTGCTGCACCTGGCGGGGCGGAAGACACTGTACACATTACAGAGTCGGTACTTTTGGCCAGGTATGACCGCTGATGTGCATCGATGGGTCGCTACCTGCGTCGAATGTGCGCGGCGAAAGCCGCCACCCCGGGTAAGCCGGGCGCCCCTACAGCCCATCACGGTGACCAGGGTCAACGAATTGGTTGCGTTGGACATCCTGGGACCACTGCCGGTCACGCCACGGGGAAATAAATACCTGTTGGTCGGAGTCGAGTACTGCACGAGATGGCCGATGGCGTGGGCCCTCCCGGACCAAACGGCACAGACCATCGCCGATGCCTTCGTGGGAGGCTATGTCCTTGATAAGGGGGCACCGGAGCGGTTGCTCACGGATCAGGGCAGGAATTTCTCCTCACAGCTATTGAAGGACGTCTGCTCTATCCTGGGCACTAAAAAGGTCCGAACATCTCCGTATCATCCCCAGACCGATGGGATGGTAGAGCGGCTTAACCGCACCATAGCGGCCATGCTGTCCCAAGTGGTGGACGAAAACCATTCCGACTGGGACCTCCACATTCCATCTGTCTTAGCGGCGTACAGGGTGGCCCCACACGCGGCGACGGGGTTCTCGCCGTTTTTCCTGATGTACGGACGGGATCCCGTTCCGCCTATTGAGGTGCAGTTGACGGACATTCCCGCAAGAGCCGACGCATGGCCGAAGGCACTAAAGACCTCCCTCATTTATTTGAGAGAGGCCCGCCAAGCAGCCGAGGCCGCATCGGCCACGAGCCAAGAGAGTAATGTACGGATACGGGAGAGGACAGTGACAGCCAAGCCCTTCAAAGTCGGGGACCAGGCATGGCTACACTGTCCTCAGGTGCCGGTTGGCCTCTCACCAAAGCTGCACCGACCCTGGAAAGGGCCGGTCGAGGTCATTAAAGCACTCCGACCGCAGTGCGTCCAGGTCCAACTGGGTAAGCGACGATGGTTTGTACACCCCACCCGCCTTAAGCCATACATCTCTCCACCGTCATCTTCACCAACATCACCACCAACATCACTGCCAACATCATCATCATCCCTACCCAGGCCAAGGTCGCCGACCACCACGCACCGACCGGCAGGGGGTTCGGTGCCCTGTGTTCCCTTGTCACCTACAGCACCCCATGTGAGGCCTGACGGAGCGGCGGCACGAGCGGGGGCCGGAGAGACAGCGGCGCCGGGCAAGGCGACACCAGCACCACCGAACCAGGGACCGCGACGAGAGGGCCTTCGAAGGAGGGGGCCGCCACGGTCATCTGCTGCCTGTGGATGTCCGGGCTGTTACGGGATGCTGGCTGGAGACCTGGGCAGGCCGCGCAATTGATTTCGTTGTGTTATGTTGCATTGTATGGTTGTGGGGGGGGTAAGGGCTGTCGTCACTGTCAGTGGGGGGAGGCATGGGGAGATTTAAATGGTCCATGGGGGAGGCAGAACCGAGGACGGTTATTTTTTTCTCCGGGGGGGGGGGTGATGTAGGGGTGTCAGGGGAAGGATTCCCACCAATAGATGGGTTAGTGGGAGGGGTGATCGAAGAGATATAAGGAGAGAACGGGCGGGAAGAAGGGGCCTTTGGCGGGAACGAGATTGGGACGGCTGGGGGACAGGTGTGGAGAGAAGGAAAAGAATAAAGGACGAGACCCCTGCAATCTGGTGTCGGCTCCTACTTTACAGTTGTATGTATGTTGAACTTCTTTCGCACCATACGTAGCCAACCGTGCTAATTGAAGGTTGCTGCGATCAAAGCGCAGTGCAGCAAAAGCGCCATCCCAACATGTGTGCGTGTGTATTGTCTTATCTGGAGGCCAATGTTAAGTAAGGCACTCACTCGCATTTGTTTGTCGGGGATCGAGCTGCAGCTGAAGGAGATTCATCCTCCCACACATCTCCTGCTGGCACTTAATGTCTTTCATTTGTAGGCGAGACGTAGTGGTGTTATTTTAAAACGAAACTTTTCACGCCATTAACACGTGCATTTCACAGCCATTATCCACGTCTTCTCGCGCAGTTGCAGGACCACACAGTGAAAATGTACCCACGCACACATCCCCATGTACCCACAGCGAGAAGCACGCAACAGCTCTGCAGCTGGAGAAGAGGCGAAACTAATAGGGCAAGGAAAAACGATGTTTGGCTCCCTGATCTGTCTTCTTGAGGTGTGCGTGCGTGTGTTGTTCAGAATTGTGCCTGTTGCTTCGCTGCTGAACCCAGTTCCTGAATTCGATTTCTGGAGAAGCTCTCAAAACGTGAGCGAAACGTGCGGCTCAACCCGAAAACACAACGGGAGCCGTACAGTATGACGGCAGAAGCGTATGCAGAAACAGTATTTGTTACCTGTAATTTTGCTTCTCACTTGCAATGGAGAATCGCTCATACGTGGAAAATGCTGTGTTGCCTTCCCAGTCTTTCAATGTTATTCTCATCTGGTGCGTTTTTTGGCTACACAGTTGATGGATTATTTCATTTCCCAACCAATGTTCACCTGTAGCCTCCCCAAATCCCTAGACACGTAGAGAAAAACAAATCAGTCATATAATCCAGAAAATACACTGCATGTGCATATTCATGTGCGTACGAGCATGCATGTATTTCCCTACAACTATGGAGAATACATGCATTTCTATGGATGTAAAATATGCACGCATGAGACGTAATGCATGTGTGATGTGAATTCATAAAAAAACAACGTCTAACCATGTGCATGTACTAACTGGTGAATGTCCTTTATAGCATTGCATTGTATATCTATGACATTTAAGGAATTAGCACAATAATGATGCAGTAAAGACATGGGCGAAGTGAATGAACAAAGTAATCGTAGTGAAACTCTAATTTATGAATACTTATGCATTCAACTTATACCACGAATACGATTATCCATGTTAGTGTAATTAACGCAGCAAGGGTGAGGTTATCTTTTAAGATCGCTGTGCAAATTTTGAATTCAGAAAAATCACAGTTTTAAAAAGTCACCTGGTGGCAAAACAATTAACATTTTTAATGGCTCCTATCATGAAATTGTGTCTTCTTTTTTTTGCATCTTGCATGAAGACAATATACCGGAGCCGAGTCCCGACAACGCTTACCGTTGTGTAGTCTTGCCAGCTTCGGTGGAAATCCACCGACCCGTCTTCTCTGCGCTGAATTACTGTCCAGCCACCACCATCTGTTTCCATGTCACAGTAGACCTTGTGAAAAACAAAGAATTGGAAAGCATGGAAGAGTTTAAATTGAGGACAGTAAATGAGTTATATTAAAAAAGAAAACAAAAAATATTCGTGTGTAAGCACCCATTTGTATGAGTGAGTGCCAACAATAAACCTGCTAACGACAGTGAACTAACAACATTTAAAAAATGCATTGCATAACAATTCCATTGTGTATATAGTCCTGGTGAAACTTGGCTTCCTAGCTCAATTGTTCTGATTGAAAACATCCCACTGTAGCCGTGAAGCTTGGTTTCTGTTTAGCAAACTTGCCTTTTAGTTCTTCCTGGTTCTTTCGGTAAAGTCACGTAGAAGGGAAATAATAAAATAATAAAAATAAAACATAATAAACTAATTCTCACGACGTTTCGGCCACAACGCAAGCAGCCATCCTCAGGTGGAGAACAGGTCTGTCGGAAAGACAGCGTCTGAATGTCTTCTCGACAGACCTGCTCTCCACCTGAGGACGGCTGCTTACATTGTGGCCGAAACGTCGTGAAAATTATTTTATTATGTTTTATTTTTACAATTTTATTATTTCCATTCTACGTGACTTTACCGAAAGAACCAAGAAGATGAATCCCTGCAGTCACGAAAGCTTTAAATCGAAATTTGCCTTTTAGTTTTCCATATATAATACCCACACATGTGAAGAGCCACATTAACATAAACTGTTAGACTTTAAAATGTATCGCTGTTCGTTCTTCTTGATGATGAATTATGAAATGTAGTGTTTTATTGCTTTATGCACATGATGGAGTTTGATAGCTGCTCACATTTTTAATTGCTTTGCCATTTGTCAGTTGGTTTGTGTTTACGTTGATGGGATTATTTTATTTTAACATTTCTGCTTAGGGGGGGTGAGTGGGAAGAGGGTGAATGATTACGCAGGAGCCACTGGATCCCTTGAGGTCCAATGCTCAGTACAGAAGAGTTCATGTTTTTGAAGCTTATTTTTTAAGGAGGCAATTAAATTATTTATTTTAATACAATAAAACAATATAAAAACCACAGACACTGGCAGAAACCTAAGCAACGTGAGTAATAATCAATACAAAACATATGATCCGAAAACCTCATTCATCACTCATCAGTGAAGATTAACATGTGCACGTGGAAATGGCAGTATCCTCACATTGCTGATTGATAAATCAAGTACATATATCTTTAAGTGGAGATTTCGGAATGTAACTTACTTTTGCCGGTACGGTGTCATTGGCAGGGTAAATAACGTACACTCCACTATTTGTATGTCCAGATTTTATGAATTCCCCGCAATCCCGAAATATATTTTTTTCTTCCTTGTCACGGAATGGGAAACGCGCTGTTGGGAAAGAAACACGTTCAATTAAGCATGTGAATATAAGCCACCTGCCACGATTAATTATACATAACTCGGTTTGGATCAGCAAAATTGTATGAAATGTAACACTACAACGCATGCTGCAATCTAATTCATAAAGACAGCAAGAGCGCATGACCACGGCTATTAAATAGAAGGGAGTTAGTGTAGTACATGAATAACACTGGTCAACACACTTTTTCTGGCATAAGGTATTCCAAGGGTATTAATGCAATTTCGGGGTGCTGATTCCAAATCTGGCATCAGTTTTTGTCTATCACATCAGGTTTTTGAGATATCAAATATTGCATTTTCAATAAAAACTGCAGAAGAAAAATATTTAATAAATGTGGATATCTACATAAAATGATATTATAAACACACTATCCAAAAAATACAGCATCATATTTTAACACTAAAGCAGTCACTGACTCGCACCAACTTGCAATCATAAGTGACAGAGTTAATTTCGGGTAAAATCAATAAAAATGGGGTATGCCGATAGCATAGAAATTATGTGATAGAGCAAATCTGAGATCAGATTTGGAATCGGCACCCTGAAATTAGTCTAAAACAACTGCAAAAGTCCAGGCCAAAAAAAAAAATGTTTTGTTGACCAGTGTAATTAATCCTCTCCAAAGCCTCTCCAGAGGGCATATTTGGCCTACTCTTCCACACTGGCCCAACATCTTGAAAGAGATGGGAGTGCCCACGCTTTACCCTACCACACGTGACTTGCCGATCGACGAACTGCCGGGGGATTCATTAACGTTGCCCCATTGTTTCAACTGCTACGCGGGGATATATAAACACTGACCCCTGGATTACAAGTCCAGCGTTCTAACCATTACACCATAGCAGCATCTTGGGTGAACGCATCCTCTATTAGCACAGTTGGCTACATACGGAGCAAAATAAATTCAACACGTACAAATATGACATACAATGTCTCTACATCTCGCGGTGGCAGGATGTTAACTGCTTTGCCTGGTATACAGGAGGAATACAGGAGGTGCATGTAGTTAAAATAGTTAATTAGTTCGTAAAAACGATATACTATTTTTTATTTTACCAGGTAAGGCCCACTGAGCAATATAGCTCTTTTTCAGACGCGACCTGGCCACAAATGATAGCTCAACAAAGTGGCTTATCACGTGGAAATTTGTCGGTCTGAACGCACGTCGATTCTAAAAGTGGAGGGGAAAACCGGAGGACCCGTAGAAAAATCCACACGACCACGGGGAAAGAGAGAAAGAGAGACATGTAAACTACGAATATATAGGCTTCAGGGTCAGTATCGAACCTACAACTTCCTGCATACCAGGCGAGGGAGATAACATCTCGCTACCGCAGCGCCCCTTAATGCTGTTGTTAATGTCGTTGTTATTGTTGTTGTCCTACTACAGGCTAGTGGTTTGATACCTGTGAGCCGTCCAACCTCAATGGGATGTACTACTCTGCTGGGCAGAACGTGGGTAGGTTTAATGGTATCAAGTGGCATTACTGGAAATATTCAATGGGATGTACGTAGCCCTCACCGTCGTCCTGCGTTAGGCGTGCGAGCGTCTCTTGCAGGGCGCTGGCCAGCTGCGCGTGCTGCCGCAGCAGGCGGCCGTGGCCGGCGCCCGCTTCGTCCAGCCGGCGCGCCAGCTCCGCCAGGCGGGCGCCCTGCCCCGAGAGCAGCTCCTGCACGCGGCGCCGCTCCTGGTGCGCGCCTGCCAGCCGGCCCTCCTGTTCTGCGAGCCTGCGCTCCAGCAATCTGCAGAGCGATGTTTGCATGGGTAGATTAATTTTAATTGTTGTGTTTTTTTATGGTTGATTGCAGAATACACTGGCCCACATGCTGGCATACAACTGGCCGGGTGGCTCAGAAGGCCAGATAGGTTAAGCTGGTTTCGCTGAGATCCGAGGCTCGTTTGTGATTAACCCGGGCACTCCAGTGTTTCGAGTTGATTGTCTCAGCATTGCTCATCATTTATTGCACACAAGAAAATAAACATTACATTAATGATCGTTTTCACTTATTTTGGCTAAATTTCAGCTGTGAGAATTAAATATTGTGTTGACTGTCATGCTGACGAACATTTCTCTCATATGCAGGGTGAGTGATAAAGTGCTGCCCCCTACTGTGTGGGTCAAAGGTCACTTGAAGGAATCTCAGAGGTAGCTCAATGTTATCCATTTCTGTGGGTCGTTCTCTGTGAGAGATCCAAGTGGATACTTCACGTCAATATTACAATCGGAATGAGATTGGATATAAAAAATTACTAAGATGAGGCTATGGTTAGTGGTCGAAATATAGATTTTTTTTTTCAGCACAATAGGTAACACAAATGAAAAATGAAAAACTTATTGCGAGTCCAGCATGATAGCCTGTGTGCCACAGTGCAGTTCTCACAGTATAGAGGCAGACAAAGATCTCCCAAAGAACCTTAACAGATTTTTTTGGGGCAAGTGCTGTTAGCGAGCAACTATGAAGGCCGGCATGGCACACAAGGGGGTGGGTGGGTGGCCAGCACCACGCCAGACCGTCTTTGTCTCTCCTGAGCAACGATGCTTACACATCGTACTAGGTACTTATTTAAGGCTGAGTCGACCTAGGTGAGGCCCAGGAGCGGTTCAGATAATCATCACTGGCGTTGGCTGCGAGTGGGCATCAAACTCATCCGAGAGGTTCGTAGGGCAGCGCATTAACTGCTACTCTACCACGCCCCTAAAAAGGGAGAACATCCTTACACACACGTACACATTTTTCTCCTGGATCCTGCTGATGTCCTGTGCCTGTTGAAGAAGTTGTTTCTCCAGTTTGCTGGTCGAAAGGGAGTTTTCCAGCAGCTGAATCTCCAGCCTTGAAGTATGATTTAGGACCTTGATGTTAAGAGAAACAGCAGAGTTTATGTAACGCTGCTACTCCAATACCAATAACTACAGATGCCTGAGTAAATAAAATGTCCCTAAATAAACAACGAACGGAACTTCTCAACCGTGAAATCATATAATGACTGTAATTGGAAGTTGTCCATCTGTAAACAAATGATTTGTCTTCAACATTGAAATGGAAATTCAAACACGTGATGCAGTAAATTGTCGTCATTTATTGTATCAGACTCTCTGCCATATTTATAAATATCCCAATGATTAAACACCTGCTTATGAATCTATTTATTTGACAAGCAAACATTAGCACAGATCATTTTTAAACAATAATTATGTGGGCTGTACTTTTTCATTATAAAATATATAATGCAACATAACCAGACACATCTTTCTTAAGATACTTTTTCATGTATTTGTGTTACTTTGGTACCGAATTCATTTCCCTTAACTGTATGCATGTTTCGTTTTATACCTGTATATTTAAGCATTACATGAAAAGGAAAATATAACCAAAACACCACACCATCATGACCATGAACTACAGTCGCAGCTGTAACGGCATCAGCAGCAAATATCAGGAGCATCAGCATCCTCAGTGAACGTTGATGCCAGAAAACAACAAATAGCACGCCTACCAGACTGAACCAACATCCACCTGTCTAACAAATGGTGTCAGAATGCAGCGGATACACTGAATCGTCACCAAGATACAGTAAATACCACATTTTATATCGTGCAAGAGGTGCATGGATTGCATGCAATGCACCTCACCCAACAAGTAACTGCAAATCCTCATGAAGAGAACTGCAAACTTTATCCACCTGAGAACATCACCAGCTCATTGTTGCAGAAGGAATGGGATCGGCTCTACCACCGGCTGCAACTCCCACACCATCACTATGCTGAATCAGAATATGTATTTATACTGGAGGAATCCGATGAGCTATAAGGCTTTTCATTCACAGATGTCAAGCAGGCATGAGCGGCCACCTGGCTTTGAGCTCCTCACCACCTCTGGAGCAACGTTAACAGGTTTCAGGTGTGAGGTTCTCCATTGTGTCGAGACCAACCAGGCCTGCTTTATTCAGGACATCCCACGGGGCCACGATGGTGTTGTGGAGGAGGATGCACACATGCTGAATGGCTGCTCTGTCCATGCCGGACTCCCCGGAGGTCGTCGAAAGCTGATTACAGCTGACTCCGAGGTCCATGACTGCCTTAGAACCAATTAACTGTTTGTTTGCTGTGTGTGTGCGTGCGTGCGTGCACTCTAAACCTTGTCTTGCAAGGTGGTCGGGTGGCTCAGAGGTCAGGGCGCTGGACTGGCAACGCTGGAGCTCATAGGCTCAAATCCAGACAGCCGCCCGTGATGAAAACAGATTCTCTAGTGCAATGAGTTGGTGGTCTCAACCTGGTCACCAATGACAGCACAAGAAAGACATCATATTCAATTTGGTTCTGGATTGAATTTGAATGAATTCCAGATTTGATCACTAAAAAAATAATCTGTTTGACTGTCATGCAACAGACATTACTCTGAGCGGGCGGTAATGTGACCAGGTAATCTTTGTGATGACCAACTTCTCCACACTGTTGTCTAATATGCAGGGTTGCACTGCTGTGTGAGATAATTTAATGTATTCTTCATTACATGACGTCCTTGCCTTCCTCTCGCAGGTAATCTCTCTGTCGTTGTCAGCGGCCTTCGTGACCGTCGGACATCCTGCCGATGGTATCATCACTTGTGCGTGCAACTGTGGCTCTCGAAAGCAATGTGTTATCAAAATAATCTACCAAAACTATAATTGCTAGGATTGTTGGTTCGTACGCAAGCACAGGGTACCTTTGCCCCAATGGGAACGATTCTTGGTTTACACAACCCGCACGTACGATTTTTGGTTTTCGCACCCGCACGCGTACAAGTCTCGGATTACACACTCACACGCACGGGTCTTGGTGTTCGCACTCACACGAGTCGAGGTTTACATGTCGACACGTGCTCTACCTGTGCCTCAATGGTGGCGAGCCTGCGCGTCTGCCCAGCGGTGTGCATCAGCAGGTTGCTGCTTGCCTCCAGCATGGCGGTCGTCTGGTTGTTCATTGAGCGTTGCTGCAGCTGAGCCAGCTCCACCATCACACCTTCTCGAATGGAGTTCTGCAGCTGCGGACAGGGATACCGGAAGACAGGACACTTGACGATTTAGATTCACCCGGCACAGCGACGCAAGGAATTGTCACGAATCGTCGTCGTTTTAATTCGATAATTATTCCTTGTTTTTTTTTGGTCTCGTTTATAGAAGAAAATGAAAAAAATATTAAAACGTAAAAAAGTGACCAAAGAAGCATGGACAGGAAACACGCCTGAAATTATATTGACAGACAGAATGGAGGAATACGTGAATGAGAGAACACACAGAGGTTAAAGACAACATTAATTACCGTTAAGGAAAGTGGACTTGGGAAGGATGCGTCTTATAAAAGGTCAAGAACAATGACGGAGTGGCAGCCAAGGAAGTGAACGTGCCAGAGACAGGATTCACTGAAGAGATGGTGGAAGGCAGTGAGCTCGCGAGAAGGTGCTAGGGTGATGATGATGATGATGCAGATAGTGCATCACTTGAAATGTATTTTGTTCATTTTATTTGTTGTTTTGCTCATTTTTGTTTCATCTATTGAACTAAACGACTCCACGAATGTACATTTAGCATTCACATAACCTTTAATCCGTGAATAAACGCATCAATACATATTCATTTGTATAGCAGATTAAAGATAATGTACGGGGTTGCCCAACACTCGTGCTAAAAAAAAAATACAGGAGACTTAATTTACAATATCAACAAAGCAATGTGCCCGAGGCAATATAATATCAAAAACATTTTTAAAAACTTGTATTACAATTAAGACCAGTGCACTCAACACCAGCATGGAAAAATAAACACGAAGCAATTGTTTATTGTTTATAAACTTCCAGCTAACGCTTGCTCCTTCTCGTCGTCCACTGCCCTTGATGTGACGAGATCCCTTCGCCATGGCCCAACAGAAGGCTGCTGCTCAAGCAGAGGTCGCAAACGGGTTTTGATTCCTTACCCGTACCCGGCCGCACCAGGGTCGCAAACGGGTACCCGTACCCGGCCGTACCCTACCCGTACCCAGCCGGGTAGGGTACGGGTATCGGGTACCTGATTGCGACCTCTGGGATGAAGCCATGTTGCAGGCGCGGGTGGGTTGATTCTAGGAACTTGAATTGTGAGAAGAGACAAGACGTTGGGAAATGAGTGACAAACAGTTACTCACCAATGACTCACGATCTACCCGTACCCGTACCCGGCCGCACCAGGGTCGCAAATGGGTACCCGTACCCGGTTGGGTACGGGTAGCCGGGTATCGGGTTGGGTACGGGTAACGGGTACCCGGTTGCGACCTCTGTGCTCAAGTCCACGATCAAGGCGGCTTCTCTTCTCCTCTGCTTGTGACTGATATCTTCTTTTGACCGTTAAACACCGATCTCATTTTCATTTGCAGTGCATCCCAAACCCACTGAGCCGAATTGCATCTTTCCCAGATGGACATAATTCTACTTTACGACCGTTACACTACTTTTAAAAATGAATGAATGTTATGTACATTTAAAATAACTAATGTTATAGTATATGTTTCCCCTAGTAGCTACAAATGCACTTCCTATAATGTGCAATAATTCACATTGCAATTCACCTTGGAAATAACATTTAACACCAGATAAGTGCAATTAAAATGACGTCCGCTCTCGTGTTACTCCGAACTATTGAAATATTCATAGACGCAATCTCCACAGGCGGTTTTTATTTCTCCTTTCGAGACCTGTACGTGTCAGTGAATAAACATCTGCGCATTTCCAAGGGAAGAACAAATGACACTTCGCACAAATTAGACAGCCACAGTGGATCATTTTCTGTAATTCAGCCCGGGGGCACGTAATGGCAATCGCATGCACTATGAGACGCATTACAACGCTGAGGAATGTGGCCAAATCCCCACAGAGCTAGAGCGTTAGGGTCTAAAGATGTAGATTGGACAGATTTAGTGGCAATGGCCGAGCCATCCCTTCGCAACAACGGCACCTCAGGACACATACGTTACACACACGCTGGTTCTGACATTCCTAAATTACAACTGTCATTACCAATGTTTTTTTTTTGCATGTAAAGATGGCAAACATCGCACAGCGCCTGCTGTTTACAAAGCAGTTCATCAAAAATTATATATTTTTTTCTCTTTTCTCTTCTCTCTCTCTCTCTCTTTCACCCTTCTCTGTTTGTTTTGTAATGAGTTTTTTTTTCGCGAAAAATATGTCAAACAGTAAATAAACCTAAGTGAAATAACAACCTTTATAAAACACTAACAGATGCTGAAGGTATAAGCGAATTTGTACGAAACACAGATTTCTTTCACATCCACAGTGCACAAACCTCGGCTTTGGCCACACAGCGTTCCATTTGAACGCGTTTATTTTATTTGCATTTACCTACCTTCTACGTCTGCTTGTGGAAGCACTCCCCAAGTCCGGTCCACGTGAACCATTAAAGTTTTGGCTTCCCAAAGCAGCTCAACGTCCCATATTCTCGCGGTGGCGAGATGTTAACTACCTCGCCAGGTATACGGGAGGTTTGTGGGTTCGATCCCGACCCTGATGCCTGTATATTTGGAGTTTGAATGTCTCTCTCCCCGTGGTCGTGTATATTTTTTTCTCCGGGTCCTCCAGTTTTTCCCTCCACATTTAGCAACGTGCGTTTAGAGTATTTGGCTGCTTTAAATTTCCACGTGACAAGCCACTTCGTTGAGCTATCATTTGTGGCCAGGTCGTTTCTGAAAAAGAGCTATGTAGCTCAGTGGGCCTTACCTGGGAAAATAACAAATATACTTTAATAGTTTAATCGTAAATGTTTTTGTACAAGTGAAATGAGAGGAAAATGACATTTATTGTTACTTCACACTTTTTTCTATGGATTGTAATCATCTGAGTAACAACTGTAACATCTAAATCGATGATCTGAAAATTAATCATTCCAAAATATATTATACAGTATCTAATACATGTAGACTATTACACTGGCACTTTGAGTGGCAGATTTGTGGCAAAAAGGTGTCACGTGGGTAAACAAAAATAAAGTTCACTTCACTTGACAGGAAATGGCCGGCTCTTTAAAAATAGTTTTATTGTTTTAACGCTTTGCAATGAAGGTGTGATGCGTTTATGCCTTGGCTCTATCAATCTGTCTCTCTGTCTATCTATTTATCTCTCGAAATGGGGTCGCCATCACCCTCGTAAAGATGATCCAATCTGAGCAAATATTTATGATATAGTTATGTTTCTATTAATAACCGAAGCTATTGAAAAATGGCCCATTTGATAAAAGGGTTGCGCTGAAATTGGAGATAAAAACCAGAACAACAAAAACATACTGTTTGTAAATGTGAAAATCTGTTTATACTAACGATCAACCCGTCGGCTTGCATAGGGCTAATTAAATGCATCTAAAAGCAAACGCATGTTGGAAAGCATTACCTAGTCCGTGCGTATGGATGATTTTTTTTCCAAATCTTGTTTATTAAAGAAACACATTTGAAAAGCATAGCAATACAACTAATACTTTTTTTTATCAAAGTTACCTACCGCCACAGTCCAAGAATAAACTCTTCAAATGCAAAAGTAATTGGCACGTATGAGTTTCACGGATGACCAAGAACAACATGTGCTTTACATGAATGGTATGCACTTGTATAGAATTTAGTCCCCAAAGGCAAGATGAAAGGCGAGTCAGCCCAGAGTCACGATTGCTTCCGTCACTGCGAAGGCATCGAGACTTCTACGATTTTACCGGGCTCTTATCTTCCTTGGAGAGATACCGTTTGGAAATCCTCGATCTCATCACTTCTCTCCTTCTCTTTTGAATCTTTGTGCAACTCAACCTACCAGAGTTGACAGAGGCCTTACGTTCTCGACACTATAGCAACAGCCTTATCTCTGGCCGGCAATCTGCCAGCAAAACTATCAAAGGATGGAGAAAAAGAAGCTGACTGACCACTGTTCGCATCAGTAGCCAGGATTGATGACTGCTGCTAAGTGACATTTTCTCCACAGATCGAAAAAATATTCGAAAGCTACCGGGTATTTAAAATACCGCTGCGGACTTATGTACGTGATAGCCATCAAATGGGACTTCATGCAACTGTTCATGTGAAATGTTTTCATGAAATAAAAAAATTAAGGGATTTGCCGGCAGTGGTAGGTAAACACAACATGTCATCACAGTCGCCATTCACAGGGCCCAGCAGCGCGAGTGTGATTTCCAACTCTTATAATGTCAGTCTCACTCTCTCTGTTGTGATGAAGGCCCCTTGCCTTAAACATCGGCCGATTATATTCAAGATGATGCATTTAAAGATACCCCAATGGAATAATAGAGATACATTATTGAGAAAACAACACGTTATTCCAAGGTTACTACATGCCTCCAACCATATCTCAATACACGTATTATATATTCTCACACTCTCCCCTGAGATAGATGGGGCCATCGCTTTCACAATATTAAGTCAGCTGTTGAAATTAAAGTAAGAGAGACATTTTCTATTAGTGAGATATCTATACATGGATTGCCCTATAATACTCTATTCAACAACAGTATCGATAACATGTGGTGATGATTTTTAAATATATTTTTTTACTCCTAATTATAGGACGCAGGTGCAAAGTGTGAGTGCGTGACATTGATTGTACGACCTTGAATTGCCCACTAATTTCTTAGACACCGCCATTCTCAAACCCTCCACCACACACGATGCACAATCCGAGGCATGCGGGTGGTCAATGCCCACGACCCATTTTAACAGAGGGCACCCACCCCAATCTACAAAGGTAGAAGCTTGCCATCAAACGACGCCAAATCCAGCACCTCGAGATGTTGAGCTTTGCCTTATGGGAGCAAACAATGGGATCGGTAGAGTGGACAACGTAACTATCAATTATGAGCACTTGTGATCACGCGCAGGCCTTTAAACATGAGAATGTGCACTGCTGCAGAAGAACAATCTCTCACACCGTGCATTACTCTGGTGTCGCATTACAGCGGCTCTCTGCGAGCCTTACAAACGGCGAGCAGTCACAAGTCATACGCAATCAGAAGCACACTATGTTTAGAGATCCCACCTGGTTAAATGCAATTGCTGGCATTGACTATACGAGCGACTCTTGCCCACTACAGTAATTTGTTTCTTGCTGTGGTTGTCCCACCTGATGACGGAAGCTTGTGTTGCTTCCGAAACGTCGTGATTTAATTTATTTTTGATTATTTTTATTTTTTATTTTATACCTACGTGACTTTACCGAAATATCTAAAGAGTATTGACTATATTATTATATAAGCAGTTTTTACATGACTCAAGGAAGTGAACGATAACAACAATTTAACAAAAAATGTAAAGCCCTTTATCAAGCCACTGCTGGATGAAGGATTCTTGCATGTCATGCCAGTCACGGGGATTGTTTGCCCAAACCTCACCGTGCTTGCCAGCGACCACTGCAAAAGGGGACCAGTAGTGGTTCCGTTGCTGTGGATATTCGCAGTGGTGCCAAACTGAAGAACGGCTCTTTTAGAGCACACAATCGACAGGAAGTACAAGAACAATGAGCTTGCATAACGCGCACGCATAGTGTACATTGATTACCATATCTGCAATAGATACCCATAGTCATTTATAGGCATTCATTAATCCCACCCATCCACTGCGCGCAAGAAGAGCACACAAGTGACGTCAGCACATCTATTCCTCTATTTAAGGAACGAAACAGGAGGATTGTTTCGTTCCTCCACAAATCTGGCTGTCGCCTGATGAAGCAAGTTGTAATTACTGGCGAAACGTCGTACTCCGATTGTAAATGTTGTGTATTTGCTCTCCAACACACTGGTGTGCCGTACTAGTGACGAATTGGCAACGTTCTATTTACGTGACAAACCTTACTAATTGGCTGTGTCGGGTGGTGGCGGGTTTAACGACACTTTTATATATTTACGAGATCTAACCCAAAAAAAACGGTATTATGGACAAACTTAAGTTACCGTGTTCATAGTGCAATGTGCTAACCACTGCACCGCTGCTCCCCCCCCTCACTAAACGGGATATTATCCGTATATATGTCTGAGCCTTTACTCAGTGCACCTCCTGTGAATTGTGAACTTGCAGTGAGTGAAGCTTAATGAACAAACGAACGTGAACCACACCATGATATTTAAAGCAATATTCCAAATAAAGGCCACTCGTTGCAATGGCGAGCGTGTAATCTCGCTGCGTTCGCTCGGATGAACGATTGCCGAATATTATGACGTTTAGCACTCAACCGCTAACCGCGAGGTGACATTAAACCAATCAGCAATTATAGCGGCCATCCTCTTAGCCCTGTTTGTGGACGGGTTCCTCGTTCACCGTGCGATTACGGCTCTCTCTGATCCCACGTTTCAATGTCAAGCAGGGTGACTTCTAGCACGGGTATTGTAAGAACTCCCATCTTGATGCATGTTGGCAGGCACGGTACCAAAACAAAACGCCACGCTCTGGTTCTGTGAATTCTTTGAGGAACCCGCACAAATGCAGGCGTGGATATCTGTTACACAATCACTCAAATTCTTTTCTCGTCCGGTGACTTGAAAATAAACAAAGCTGTGGGTCAGCGGTACCTTTCTTTTTGGGGGAAAAATTGTTTAAAACATTCGAAACCGAATTCTGCAGCGGTGTTTATGTGTTTTTTTTCCCTTTTAACACATATTTTAAAAAATGTGACCATTCATAAAATTCCTTCGACGAAAAATATTACATCGTTCCAAGCTAAACCCATGCTGTACTCTGGTACAAAATATTATCGACAATATGATTAATCACTGTATAAATAATCGTTTAAATAAATAATTCTAGCTTAAATTTAGCGTAAAACATGTGTGCCGATTTATTTAAATATGTTAATAAATACATAAATGAGTGAGAATGGGCACAATTACTTTCCTTAACGATTTAAATTGGTATCACAAAAATCTTTAGACATGAAACGTGTTGATAGAGGCCCGCGTGTGATTATTTGAAATCGCTCTTAAAAAAAAGGACGACAAATTATGCTAATTACTGCTTGTTTTTTTTATGAGACAGGGGATAAGCAACTTCAAACATGACTCAGCCCCCAATTGGTTTACTCTGCCAGTAGCAACAACCAAGACATTCCACCAACATTGCTCACCAGCCAGCTGTTTGAACAGTGCGAGAGGGTTCCTACAACAGCAAGTGGAATACCTAGAACAATTCTACGGAAAGATAGCGGCTCTGCAAGAATTACAGATTGTAACCGATTAGGCAAGCTTTAAACATCAAAGCGCAACACTTCAAGTCGAGTTCTCAATGATGCTAAAAAACAATTACCCCATTAACTTCGTAATGGATTTCACCTGTTGGTGCAGAGTTTGTGTTTTCTGGTTGTTGTCACACACCTCACACTGTGATATAATGACGGCGATTTTAAAGAAAACAAATTGGTCGCAAGGACATTAATCAAATCTGGGGTTAAATGTAGCATTTCTCACAATTCATTTCCCTTAATGTAGCATCTATAAGCACCTGGTGCTACTCCATATTTCAATGGTAATTTTTTATTTTTACTTTGTAAAAAATATGAAAACGAAGGGACTCCAAAGTTGAACTTGTTATAACGAGTATTTGCGTGGTCATTAATTTGGGGCCGATTTAATTCAATAACTATATACTTAATGTTTGGAACTTCTCTTTGAAGATAAAAGTGACCACATGTTTGCATCAAAATGCTGCTATTATAATGCTAAAATGAAAACAAGACCCATATTTCATTTAAAAACAACTACATTTAAATAGGCGCAAGATTACATAATTTTATTGCCTAACCTGGGGCAATGTTAGTGAACATTAAACAGAGTTCTGCCCTAGTATAAATTGCACTAAACACGATCTTGGGCGAGTATAATTTCGTATAATCATTGACATTTCATTTTCTGCTCTGTCATAATATACAACCAGATTTCCAACTGCTACAAAACCAATTTCTCTATCCACACGTAGTACAACACTCGTTCTTGTGCACTTACACTGCAGACGCATACCATCACACCCATCTATTACCTCTATTTATTTTCTGTAACTTCTACTAAAATACACATATGCGCATACAAACACACCCACGCAACGGCCCACATGCATGCATTGCCTATACTGACATGATATTGGGCCACCATTGCAACGTTTATTTCACGACGCATGTGCTTTTATTGTATCAAATATGAAAATGCGAGTGTAGAAAGGATGAAGGTTATGTTACATCACAACACAAGTGCATCGTTTACATTTCTGCAAGGTGATGCAAAATATTAGTTGCAATAACTGTCCACCAATCAAATTGTACGAATCTCCCTGATGACATTTACATTTGAGCTCTGTATTTACCTTAACAACATTGACTGTTGCTAGTATTCTTGAAATATAAATGTTTCAATGAATGAATTATAAAACTCCTACGATTGTGCATTTGGATTACGGTAGTAATTTCATGATTGATATATGAGTACTGTATTCAAAATCGACCTCCAACATATGCTCCACATCTACCTCCTCAGTAAATGCTGCAGCAGTTAAACCGTTTAGTACAAACCATAAACGGATGAAGAGTAAATTAAAACCATACCCATCCCTATGGGCATGAAAACACCATTTCTGCAATTTGCAACATAATCCCATGTGTGATTTCACAACAACGCACACTTATTAATATTAATAACAAATGAGTTACTCACGCACGCTTATTAATATTAATAACAAATGAGTTACTCAACTCATAAACAATGTTTATTTTGTTGCAAAATCACAACTCTGCATTGCACTTTCATTGAAAGTAAAAAAAAAAGTTTAATCCTGATTAACAGTGGCTCAATAGCATAAATAACAATTCACCACTTTTGTTCACAGCGCTGGCTTAATCGGAAAACACAGAAAAATAAGTGATGATTTGGGCAACAGCCCTTCTTCACGGCGGCAACATTCAATCGATGCGTTTGGCTACATTAAAGTGGGTGAGTGACGAGTCAATCACACACCTTCACGAGCCACTGCGTGTTGTTCTCCGTCGCCACCTCGAGCTGCTGCAGCCTCTGCTGAGAGCGGTCGGTCTCAGCGTTCGGCGCGTCTCGCTGCAGCGAGTTGGTGACCAGGCTCTCGGCACCGCTTGTGCAGCCCTGCTGCGGCTGCTGCTGCTGCGGCTGCTGCTGCTGCTGGTGATGCTCGGCCAGCTCCGGCAGCAGGAAGGTGTAGGTGCAGGGCCCGTGCTGGATCCTGTGGTGGGCCCTCCCGGCCGTGTCACCGCCCACCGCCACCGCTGCCGCAGCTGCCACTGCAACCCGGTGGCCCAGCCAGTAACCGGCGATCCCGGCTCCCGGGCGCAGAGCGCAGCACAGCAGCACGAGCGCGTCCATCATCCTCGTGGCGAGCATCCTGCCGGGGACAGCCGTTCCAGAGCTGTCAGCCTGTTCACGTAATACGTGCACGAACCGATCGCAGCCCCACAGCTCGGTGCTATATATGCATAGCAGCAGCTGCTTTTACCAATGAAGGGCAAGCATAGCTATGCATTTCCTCGATGAGCTACGAACATGAAAACTATTCCACTCTCAAGAATAATCTACGACTGACAGCACTTGCAGCCAGCCTTGCCGAGATATATTCATCCCATTCAATGCTCCGCACGATCCCTGGTGTCACAAATTTTTGAGCGGAGCGATGCTTGGGTTCTATCAGGGTGCGAGTCAGCCAAGCCAAGGTGCACGGTTCCCAAGACACATCAAAGAATGCAAACCCAGTAAAACGTATGTGTGCTCTGAATCTCACCCTCGATTTTGCTCTCTGTCTCTCCTGTGTGTGTGTCTCTCTCTTTCTACACTCTGGAATCAGGCCACTGGCATGCCCAGTGGAGGGTCACAGTGCAGTAAAATTATTAAAACAGCACGCGTTCAGGGACCCCCACCCAAAAACCTTTTAAGCCTGGGCTCCCACACCCACTTCCATTGGCTGAACGTGAACAGATGAGCCACCAATCAAAGTACACTGCCAGATTACCCACAAGGGTGAAAAGTTGATGGGATTATAGAACCTTGCTGATTTAACATTTGGGCACGCACTTTATTCAAGTTCATAATATATTGCTCTGTGGACTGTTAGAGGAATACTTTATTAAAATGGAAGGTAAAGTGTCTGTGTCTGCTTCCTTTGGACATATATGCTGTCCCATAGTATGAATGTTTTGTCTTATTTGCTAGTTCTATTTCAGTTCCCCACACTTATTGTGGGGTGCCACGGTGGCAAATGTTAACTACCTCGCCTGGTATACAGGAGGTCGTGGGTTCGATCCTGACCCTGACACCTGTATATTTGGAGTTTGCATGCTCTCTCTCCCCGTGGTAGTGTAGATTTTTCTCTGGTTCATCTGGTTTTTCCATCCAAATTTAGAAAACAGGCGTTTAGAGTATTTGACAGCTATACATTTCCACACGACAAGCCACTTCGTTGAGCTGTCATCTGTGCTGGCCAGGTCTTTTTTTAAAATATCTATATATAGCTCAGTGAGCCTTACCTGTACAAGTGAAATAAGAGGAAAATGACATTCATTGTTATTTTACACTTTTTAAATAAATTATGATCACCGAAGTAGCAGCTGTATCCGTTAAATCAATGATCTGAAAATGTATATGTATATGTAATGCATTTAGACTATTACATTGCCACTTTGAGTGGCACATTTGTGCCAGAAAAGGCGCCGCGTGTGTAAGCAACATAACGTTGACTTCACTTGAAAGGAATTGGCAAACGCTTTAAAACTGTTTCATGTTTTCGTGCTTTCCAACGGAGGTTAAATGCATCTATTTAACCTTCGAAAACGAGCTATATAGCTCAGTGGCCCTTACCAGGTAATATAAAAAAAAAATTGTAACACTTATTAGTACAGTTGCTGTGCTTCAAATTCCCATTGGAAACAAACATTTTTAATTGGAATACAACTGGGATATATGTATGCGTTCACGTTTCAAACTTAATTTCAACCTGTAAAAAACCCGAACATTTAATTATTTCTATCTGTTGAATAACAAAACTAACTTATCTCCATTAGACATGCAGTATGTTTATATTGCAAAGAGAAACTGCAACACAACCACTTCATGTGAAAGTTTAGCAATTAATTATCTGGCTTTAAGAGATCGATTTCATCAATTGCCACCCTCTAATGTTTCCTAACAAGTATCTGAAGCGAGTTTACGTGTTTCTTTGACCTACGGTGCTCCAGTTAAAGGCTCACGTGGGAACGAGGTCTGTAAGAGATATGCATAAGGCGATTACAGGTGTGGGTTCCAAGAACGAGCATTGTTGCAGGCAAAGCTCGACACAGCTGTGTGGCTCAGAGTGAAAAGTTGGGTCAGAGGAAAAGCTGAGCTCATCCCCAGAATGAATGCAAAACGCACAAGCTCGTGTCACGATCCGGGCGGATTAGTGTCCGAGTGGCCAACGCTCTTTCACCGCCGACTCCTTGTGGAATGCAAAACTACATGGGGGCAGAACATTTAAAATGCATGAATTGCTATAGCTCGCCGTTGGACCTCTCGCGCCGTTTTATAAAGGGCTGGAACATCCAATCATTGGTTATACGGCAACATTGTCACGTGACTATTAAGGGGGGCTTTGGGGATGGTGGGGGAATGTAAATAAATAACTTTACTTGAAAAGTAAAATGCCTATCCATAAACGGTGTTATTTAATTGTGCGATTGTTAGTAAATAATATTTGTTCTAGCTGTATCAATTATTATTTGTGCCGTATTATTCCAAAGCAATTTAAAAACATTACACCTGATACGGCTTTTTGTCTGTGCCCAGTGCCCATCATTGTCTCGAGGAATTTGCTTTTGAAAGTGTCCACTTCTTGTCAGTGGGTCATCGATCAGTGGAGATCAGAATCTTTATTCATCCTGGAGAAATCCGATGAGCTACGAAGCTCTATTTCGCAGATGTCCAGTAGGGGCGAGTCAGAAAGTTACAGCAACAAACAAATACAAAAACGATAGGAGTGCAAAGTATAGGACATATAAGCAAATCACTATAAATAAATACATACATATTCTCAAACTAAACTATTTTTATTTTACCAGGTACAGCCCACTGATCAGTGGAGATGATCTCAACAGCAAGAAACGTTCGATAAAACAGAGGCAGAACAGGTGATTCATAATATGATACAATTATTTTCCTTACTCGCAGAGATAGTGGCCGCAGTGGTTGTGAGATCACACTGCACTCTTGAAATGACACCTGGGTTCGATTGCAGGCCACAATGATATATGATACCGGTCCTGGGCATCCCTTTCACCAACCTCGACTAATATTGGTGAAGTATGGTCAAACAACCTCCACAACCTATATGGCAATGGGGGGGGGGGGGAGGGGCCTCATTCAGTATTGGTAAAATGTTATCATTACTATTTTTATTAATGGAGATGATGAAAGATTCTCAACAATACAAATTGGATTATACCCTTGAGATCGGTAAAGTTTGAGTGCCGAAAAAATTGTAATAACTTTAATACACCAAAATTGTATTAATGGGAGAAAAGTACGTGTCTGCGTCTAACGTTTGTGTACTTATAAACGTGCATTGGTTGCAGTACGTGACATATATAAAGGTGCGGCCCTACAACTTCCTCCTCATCGTATTACTGGTGGAAAGGTCTCCACTAGATGGAGCTCAATTAGAGCCCCTCAAGAGCAATGTTTGGCCTCCTCAGACAACTTCATCAGTAAGTCGGTGTGTGGCTCAGTTTGCCGCTAGCTATCATAGTTTGTGGTCGTGCTGCTTCAGTTATAATACAAATAATTTACATTTATTTGTAAGGAGTCTTCCACTAATGTCTCAAGGCGAGGTGAGTACAAGGCTTTTAAAAACAACGGCGCTATGCCTCTCGAAATCAATTTAACGCTCACCGCTTGCGCGTCCCGAAATTCAGCGGTGAACGGAACTCACCCTGCAACTTGAAGACGTCACGGAACGGGAAAGGGTTAACAGCGGATGTTACATTATTAAAAATGAGTAAGCTATTGTGTGCCGGCACCATGTTCCAAATGTTGCCAAATTCGAATATGACCTGGAAATGTTTCAATTGAGATTACACATAGCAACCATCGCACCTTACTGGCAGACTAATGCTCATTTGCAGGCCAGGTGGTGAGTCACCGTGCGCCCTCACTGACAGCTGCCACCGGGGAGGGCTTTTTAATGTTTGAGATTATTGCGTGTAAGGTGCTCTCAGATGCCCCAGTGTACAGGGAACTATTTCATAAATAAACAGCCATTATGATTATTCTCATTCTTGTTTCAACTTCCGCGCCGGGAGATTGAGTTGAGCCTTGACCTCTGGATTGCGAGTCCAATGAGCGACCCCATGGCACCACGGAGGCACCCTGGTTTAAAGATACGTTCCACACCATATCCATTAATGGAAGCGTAGCACTTTGTGTTCTTAGCAGCCTTTTCAAGTCGTTTTATCTGACCTTGCAGCAGCAAAAATTGTATACATTATATTCTCAAAGTATGATGAATGACAGTGATGACCTACTAGTATGCAATGAATAGTGACCTGGATAATGTACACACAAAGTTAATGGCACTAATAATGTCTTCAAGCAGTAATGGGCCCACTTTATCTCATCGATAATAATTGGAGTCGTTTCATCGGAGCATTGCCAGGCAATTGCGGTAAGTAATTGCTTACAGTACCCAGTTATTAACATTTACAGCGTTTGAAAGGCATAATTCCGGCCTAAAAAAGCAGGAAAGAACTTAAAATACGACCTGCGTAGGTTTTCACGGATGTGCAGTACAGCTCCCTCGTGTGTTATCGTGTTGTACCAGTTGTTGTTTAGGGACGTTATCCAATGTTTCACTTCATGTGCTGGGAGCCTACTTCTTCCTGAAGATACCCCCAATCGGCGGAGCGAAAAAAACATCATGCGGGACAATGCACGGCACGGCCTCGAAACACCATCGGCGACGAGCTTCAAATGGTGAGCCCGACTCGATATACAGACGTTTCTCCGTGGTCTTAACATCATTTGCAAAAATTCTTTGACTCAGGGCGTATTCAGCCTGGCATCACAGGCAGCAATCTCGCAAGGATACCTGCCCGCCCACCTCATCCAACACGCAGGGGATGCATCATCCTTGTCAGCAGCAGGAAGAGCTTAACCGCCCCGTTGTTTTTACTCGGGAGCTAATTGAGGGACCCTTGTTTCACTCCACCATCCTTCCTACAGCAAACACTGATAACGCCGCAACTTGCGGTGGAACAGAGGGCAGACGCGGACGCGGAGATTCTCTGCATTCTGGCTGGAAGGGGCTGCTCTCCACCCCCGCTCTGATTGCAGGGAAATCTTTACTTACAGGGGGGGTGGCCCTGTTGAAAGAGGGCTCTGCCGCATAGACTTTCATCTCTGGAAGGTTGAAAGATGAGTTATGTCAGGCATGGGTGGTCGTCAGTTATGCTTTAAATGCACCTGCTGAGTCTGCATGTATAATATATAATGTGCATCCAGCGACTTGCCATTACAAAATCATAATTTGTGCAGTCGGTATACATAGACTGCACCTGGTGTGTTGTTTGTGTACCTATAATGCAAATACACAGTTGTGTATTTTTGTTACTGACAATGAATAAACCCAAGATCGACAAATTATTATTCCTTTTTCAGCCGGTGTATGCAAAAATATAAAATAACATTGTATTAACTTATGATTATAAAAGCACAGAGCAGAGTAAAAAGGGTGTGTGTGTACAACTTGCATGCACTTATTTGATTAAAAATATATATTATTTTAAGAGTTATTTGGGTCCGTGCTTACATATGCTTGACTAATGTTACCCAATAACATT